TGTTCAGGAGGTTCAGAAGTGTGATCTGCCCACCTTTTCCTTTGCTAAGAACACCGGCTGTCGCCCCATCTGCACCTTTAACATGTGGGAGCCAAAGTGTTGTCGTGGTTACTACGGACGAGACTGTCTGGGTGAGATCACAACGTCATCCTCATATTAAAACCATTTCTTCAGTCTTTCTTAAATTTGTGAAACTTTTTTTTAGGGGAAATTGAACAGTTTTTGTTGTGTGACAGAATATTCAGCTTTTTATATCGTTAATTAAAAGCAAAGAATAAATATTCTGATTGGCTGGGGTTAGAGTTAGGGTTGGTGCTGAGGTTATCACTGATAATGATTTGAGGGTTTGTCCCAGTGAGAGGTAGGGTACACCTGGATAGGTCACCAGTGCTTCAGTGAGCATTTCAAAATGCAAATGATCTCAGTGACATCATATAAATGAGCAGGTTACGTCACTGATTGATTTGATTGATTCAGCTACTGATGGACTGCCTTCTCTGCTCTCTGTGCAGGGTGTCCTGGGGGGGTCAGATCTCCCTGCAATAACCGTGGGAAATGTGATGACGGTCACCTTGGTAACGGTACCTGTACCTGCGACACGGGTTTCAGAGGCACGTCCTGTGAGCTGTGCAGTGATGGATTCTATGGACCCACCTGTAAAGGTGAGTAATAGACGGGGTTTTCTCTGCGGTGTCAGATTGTAACACTCTTACTATCCTGACTTGCTTGTTTTTCAGCCTGTAACTGCTCAGAGCATGGGTCATGTGACGATGGGTGGAAAGGTACGGGTTTGTGTTTCTGTGAGGCCGGATGGACCGGAGACCGCTGTGACGTTCAGCAGAGTGAGTTCATTTCCTTCGTTGGCTTAGACTGAATTAGATAAAACCGATCCGTCCTAAAGACACTCGCCAGCTCTCAGCGCAGTTCAGACCAAACCCGAGAATGAAAATACTCAGGTATGAAAAGTAGATGTTTGTGCACTTTAATCACACTCATGTTTCTGTGTCTCCTCCAGCTGAGATCTTTCAGTGTTCTCCAGCCTGCTCTCCAAAAGCCGTCTGTAAGGCAAACAACACCTGTGAGTGCCGGCCTTTTCATGATGGTGACGGATTCACTTGCACAGGTAACGGTGGACCAGCATGAGGTGCCATCTCACTTTTAACCTCTTTCAATCTCATTTAACCCGAACTCTTTCATGGCATGCAATTTTAATTTCTCTGTGCTATTTGGCTTCATAGTGTTCAATAGAACACTATAAAGTCACAGTTGAGTAATGATGTGCAAAACTCTTTATTTGATGTCTGAACATAGCAGAATTTTTCCCGAGTACAAAAAGAAAATGAGAAACAACAATTGTGCTCCTTTGAGCAATATGGCTCATTTAAAAGCCATTTGAAAGAGCAAAATTTAGAATTGTGATCTAGATAACCCAAAATGTGATGTCCCCATATGTGGATGCCAGGTCCTTGGAGGTTAAATGATGGTAGCTGAGTGTGTACATCTTTCCCTGCAGTGGTGGACATCTGTCAGATCTGGAATGGAGGCTGTGCTAAGGGGGCCAAGTGCTCACAGAATGGAGGTAAGGTGAGCTGCACCTGTCCCAAAGGTCACACTGGAGACGGGTTCACCTGTCAGCCCATCGACCCCTGTGCATTAGGAGACAATGGTGGCTGCCATGAACACGCTGTATGCACCATGACGGCTCCGGTAAGGATGACATGGGACTTGTTTTCTAAGGTTACACCATCAGGTCCTCCTTACCTGTAAAGTGTGTGTGTGTGTGTGTGTGTGTGTGTGTGCGCGTGCACAGGGGAGGAGGAAGTGCATGTGTAAGAACAACTACATCGGAGACGGAGTGACCTGTGAGGTCAAACAGCTGCCTATCAGCCGCTGTCTGCAAAACAACGGCCAGTGTCATCGCGACGCCAAATGCACCGACCTTCACTTTGAAGGTACACGTGAACGTCATTCAAGTGGAAGCTCATTGGACGATGAAGTATTGAGCAGGAGTGTTTCTTGCGGGGTGAATGCATATTGTTATTGTGAGCGAGGTCGTGACGTTTGCTTACAGCAGCCGATTTAACCCTCGGAGCTCGAACCCTGACTTTTTTTGAAGTGGAGCAGAAAGTTTGTGTCTGTTGTGATGTGTTTATAAAGATGAATATTTTCCTGCTGATCGTCATATCTTTCAATTCAAATTTCTCTGAGCCTCATTTGCGTCAGCAGCAGCTACACACCAGGGGGTGTTGCTGCACAGAGTAGCGGTTATTTCCTAAAACATACATGGAGTGTTTAAGAAATTTACTGTTGTTTCAAATGAATCATCAATGAATGAATAACTCTCAGAATATCTCTAATTATACTTGAATCATAACTTTTTGTACCTTCATGGAAAAAGAAGACATGTATGAATTTATTAATCTGTGTTCCTTTTTCTTCCCTGTAGGTGGAGCTGAGTGTTCCCTTCACTGATAACCTTGACATGCTGAACTTCTCCCTCACTATTTTTCGTACATTCTGATATTTATGTGTTGTGCAGATTCGATGCTCGGTGTGTTCCACTATCGTTCCAAGAAAGGTCAGTACAAACTGAACTACACGGCGGCTGAGCAGGCCTGCGCTGCAGAGGGAGGCCGCCTGGCCACGTACACTCAACTGGCCTACGCTCAGCAGGTCAGTGAACACATCACAGTAGCTCCCGGACAATTGACGTCAGCCCCTGGCATTCCTGCTGAAACTTGTCGGCTGTGTGTGGCTCTGCAGGGCGGGCTGAACATGTGTGCTGCTGGCTGGTTGGACCAGGCCCGGGTGGCGTACCCCACCACCTACTCCAACCCAAAGTGTGGCTTCGGACACGTGGGCATCGTGGATTACGGCACCCGCAAAAACCTGAGCGAGACCTGGGACACCTTCTGTTACAGGATGCAAGGTGAGGGAGGAAGATGATGACACGTCTGGCTTCATGTGAACACGAGTGAAAGTAAATCTGTTTGTCAGATCTCTATAATGCAGACAGTGTGTTTATTAAGATATGAGCAGGTGAGGTGCACTTTATTTAAAGTTTGTAAATACTTAGTAAAATTTGGCTGTGAGGGAAAAGGCACATTTGTTCCTTCACAGTAGCTGGAAGTCTGCACAGACTAGGTTTGTTAGTTGAAGCGTGCTCAGTGCCATGGTTACGTGCAGATGATCGGCCCGTGTGTCTTTGTCTCAGAGGTGAAGTGCGAGTGCAAACGAGGTTACACTGGGGACGGTTTCAGCTGTACTGGAAATCTGCTGCAGGTCCTGAGATCCACGCCGAGCTTCTCAAACTTCCTCACCGTGAGTGACGTCAGATCGCTCAGATGCCACTGATCATTGCCTGCAAGTGTAAAATCCTATCCCTCCTTCTGCAGCAAATCCTGAACTGCTCCCAGGCTTCCGAGTCGGGGAAGCAGCTCGTGCAGCGTCTCAGTAACCTGACTGTCCAGTCCACTCTGTTCGTACCTGACAACAGCGGCCTGCCCGGCAACCAGGTGAGCCATTCACCAGGGCCCTTTAATTTTGTCACACATACAGTTACATCGGTGTGCTCACCTGTGCGTTCCTCCAGACTCTGTCTCTGCGTGACATCGAGTTCCACCTGTCGGAGGGTCAGGCTTTCCCTCTGAGCCAGCTGAAGAACGGCAGCCGGATCAGAACTCGAGTCGGCAGACTGACCGTCCTCGGAGTCGCCGACCAGCTTGACCCGTCGGCTCTGGTCAGAACCATGCTCATGCAACCGTCATGCACCGCTACACTAACACGCCTCTCTCCTCCTGCTCACTGCGTCAATCTGAATCAGAGAAGACCAAAAGTCTTCTGCAGCACAGTGATCTGACCTAAACGTGCTCAGAGTGCCCCCCTCATGTTTATGGGCTACCTTTGCTAAAGTGCTGCCTTTCCACCTCATTTATGTGTCTGAGAGAGCAAACAGAACTGTCCTGTCTCTGTGCGTATGTGTCTGAGTGTGTGTGTGTCTCTGAGTGTGTGTTTGTGTGTTGTTTCTGTTGTTTGTATGAAGTTCTAATCTGGTTTCGTTCTCTCAGTCGTTTCGTTACATCAACGACCGCTTCGTCAGCGACTCTGACATTATGGCTGCCAACGGGATCATCCACGTAATTCAGGGACCCCTAAAGGCTCCGGCCCCTCACCCACAGGTGAGTCCGACTTGCCTCCATAATCAGAATGCACACTCCTTATCTGACCCCCTGAATTCTCTGATTGGCTCTGCAGATGCATGTGGCGCACAAAGCTGGGATGGGCATCGGCGTGGTGCTGCTGATCGCGTTGGTGGGCGGAGCCATCTTTGTGGGATACCGCTTCTACCGTAACAACACCAAACCCTTCCAGTTCCACTACTTCAAGGTCAGACTGGAACTTTGCACTGAGGCTAAGGTTCCAGGAGGAGTGCTGTCAGTGTGACGCACCTCATCATGACATTTTTATGTGACGCAGCTTCACTATCGATCTTCACTCGTGTAACTCGAGTTACTCCTGTGGTTGCTCTGATAGGAGGATGATGGGGAGGAAGAAGCTCCGCCCACAAACAGCAGTCGCAACATCTGTAACCCGGTGTATGAAGCGGCGCCAGCGGCTGGCGAGTCCGGTGCGTCGGCGGTCACGGTGAGTCATCGGCGAACGTTTGTGCAGCTCAGAATGAAAGCTGTGACCAACGACCAGACTGCAGTCTGCTCTCAGTTTACAGCACGCTCTGTTTCATTCAAACCTTTCAGGCTCTCACTCTGACGACTGAGAGAAGGATTTTATTCGCTTTAATGAGCAGTCAGGTGATTACACTGTGTTTGCAGGTGGACGACAAACACGAGGTGGAGAACGCAGGAAGTTACGACCTGCTGCAGATCAGCTGAGAGGAAAGTGGAACCTTGGCTGATGTCTTTACCCCTCGGTGGACTGGGACGTCTGTGGCCAGCTGGGTCGCCGACACTGCCGGTGCAGACAAGTCCCGTTTCAGGCTTCTCTCTGTGAACTGAAGGACTGCTTCGCCCAAAACTTAAAGTTCGCCTAGCAGAGTTGGAAACAACACAGCAATGCTTTTCATTTTCTCTGCAGTCTCTCATTTATGAAATGATTCCTGTATAAAAAATATTTTACTGCAGATATGTTTAAATTAACAGATATAAATGAAAAACTGCAAATAAAGCAGAGCTGAATGGGAATGCTGTCGTTTCATGACCTCCATCTGCCTGTCAGAGAGTCGTCCTCATGACTAAATACACTGAATGTGGATACTTTGATGTAGTGATGTCACTACACGCACAAACACACACAAGTGCAATAGGCAGAAATGTAAAATATGAGAATCTGTGATGAATGGATTAATTTCCTTGAGTTTTTCTGTGATTGTCTCAGAAACACTAGGCTGGGTTTGCTGTTCAGGTAAAACAACCAGGTGTGAACCGGCTTCACTGACACAGCCAGGAAGGAACTCATAGTGGGACTGAACAGAACACTGCAGGATTCAGAGGTCACTGACGGACCGTTGCCCCCTGCAAGCCACAGCTCGTTACACGCTTAATGTGAAATGTAATGTTTTACCCGGTCGGTCATACACACAGCGGGCAGACTAGGAGCAGCTGGCTATAATCCAGTTTCCCCGCATGTGCACATGAAAGGGGCGGTGTTGGCACCATCTGACGAATCTACAAGGGGCATTTCATAAGTCACATGACTATGGCACCTAGATCAGAAGAGTTTTCAAATAACAGAAACATACCAGTTTAACTGAGTTGGACACTGTGGGGCCCATGTGGGTGTGACCACAGTGTCTGCTTGGTGGTTTCTGTTAATTTTTCTGCACCAAACTTCTTTTACCACAAAAATGTACTTTTTACTTCACTCCTACATTTGTTTGACAGGTGTATCTGCTGCCACCTGCTCTTCAGCACAAACTGATATTTTCACTCACCCACTCAGATGGGTACGTGTCAGATAATAACCGACACGTACCCATCACAGTCTGCTTCTCAATCACAAATCTGAGAATGACACTATACATACATACACACACACACACACGCCTTAAGGCAACAGATGTTTGATCAATCTTATTTAAAAGTCATTTGGTCCAGAGTTCCT